AAGCTTAAGAGTACATGAACCTCCACAGCTTGGCTTTCCTCTATCTCCACCCAGTTTCTTTTCCTGCTGTTTCCTAAACATGGAAGAATCCCTGGCTCCAAGAATTCTCCCTTCCTTTTTTCATAGCCTTTTAAAAATCCATTTACTCTATTAAGTCAACTGTTCATAAATAAAACACACTCACACATCCCTTCAGAGCCTGAACTACACAACAGGGAATTTGAAAATAATTTTAATTCATAAAAAAAAAATTTACTACATCTGGAGGTGGCAGAATGGTCTACTCAGTACATTGTCAAGTCTGAAAACAAGTGACCAAAATGTCATATTGCACTGCAATCATTGTTAACTCTAAAAATACCAAAGAGCTCATACAAGCTATTACACCCACTGTTAACTCTAAGAAATAAAATAAATTAAAGCAAAGAGCTAATAGTGGTCATAAGCAAAAAGCTTTCTTTATTCTGTTGGAGGGGAGAAACTAGACGCATGTACCAGGGCCTCCTCTAGTAGAAGAACTGCTTTACTGTGGGGAAATCTCTGGCTACACAGTGAGCTATAGCCCTGGCAACGAGGGGTACCAGCAACAAGGAGACAGTGTGATCCACAGCAGGGTTTCCTGATCTGAACATGGGTCCTGCAGGTGCTTGTCTGAGTTCAGGGACCACCTGGTGCTGGTGTGAAACAATTCTGGGATTTTGCTGTGCTGAGTTCATCGAGAGGATGAGTGCAAAGGATTATCGTTATGTCAAGCTCAAGACATAGCTTGCTTGCTGGACCTTAGCTCTGGAAAACAGTGTGTCTCCTAATAATAAAAAGAGAGGGATGGTCTCGGCACTGACAACATGCAAGTCAGGCCATGTGGAGGCAATATGACATAAGGGCTAGAGTACTGGACCAGGAGTCATGCCTTCTTCTTATGCTTTCTAGGTGTATGACCCTGGGCAAGTCACTTAACATCTCTGTCCCTCAGCTTCCTCATCTGTAGAATGGGACAATTGTAGCATCTCTCCCTCTGTCTCGTTGTGAGAAACAAATTTGATAATAAGAGTGATGATGGGAATAGCTAGCATTTACATAGTAAATTTACACAGTAATTTACAAAGTAAACTTTATAAAATATTTCCATTATCTCATTTTATCCCTACAGCAACTCTTGGAAGTTAAGTGCTGTAATTATCTCTGTTTTACAGATGAGGAAATTCAGTCAGAGATTTAGTGATTTGCCAGAGTCACAGAGGTATTAAGTGTCTGAGGCACCATTTGAAAACAGATTTTCCTGATTTTAAGTCCAGTGCTCTAACCACTGCACTACCTCGCTACCTGTAAAGTACTTTAAAATCTCATCAATAAATTAGCTATTGTTACTTACGGTATGATGCACATGTGGTATTTAACACTGATAATTATTTTAATTCAATATGTTGGTCACTTCTAAAAGGTTCTTATAAAATTGTTCCCAAATATTGAACTTATCATGAAAGCGATTATTTTTTTAAAATTACCACATAAGTGAGTCAATATGAAAACAAAATATGAAGTACTGAGAGTTTCTTAATGATGCCCCCCAAAAGAAAACTCTGATGGATTCCAGATTATAGGAATATAGCACAGAGTTTGCTGATTCTTTTCCTATAGAAAAAGAACAAATTAAATAATATCAGAAGATGCTAGACAGACAGATATTGATAGAAACATACATACGTATGTTACATAGATAGGTAGATAGACAGGTAGATAAATATATAGAAACATATACACATATGATAGGTAATAGGCAGGTAGATATACATAGAAACATATACATACATATGATAAGTAGATAGGCAGATAAACAGGTAGATAGACATATAGAGAAACATACATACATATGATAGGTAGATAGGCAGATAGATAGAAAGACAGACAAGTAGATAGATAGATAGATGGATGGATTGATGGATGGATATATAGATGGATAGATAGACAGACAGACAGACAGACAGACAAACAGACCGACAGAGACAGACAGACAGATAGATGATAGATAGATAGATAGATAGATGATAGATAGATAGATAGATAGATAGATAGATAGATAGATAGATAGATAGATGATATTCATGGTGAGTAGATAGGTAAATAGATAGAGAAGTAGATAGATAGATGGATGGATGGATAGACAGATAGACAGACAGACAGGTAGGTAGGTAGATAGATAGATAGATAGATAGATAGATAGATAGATAGATAGATAGATAGATAGATAGATACATAGATACATAGATACATAGATAGATACATAGATACATAGAAAGATACATAGATAGATGGATGGATGGATGATATTCATGGTAGGTAGATAGACAGAAACATACATATATGCATACATAGATATAATAGGTAGATGGATAGACATAATGCATGTAAGTGTGTGGCTATTCTATACACTTTTTCTAAGTAACTTTGATTTTTTAAGGAACGTTGCAGGTCCCGTTTCTCATAAAGGAAAGCAGGCAAACTTGGCAGATGATAAATATCTCTCTTTTGAGTAAAGGAAGTCAACCCAGAAGTGTCCTTACCTCCCATAAAACCTTATTTATCTCAACCATATAAATCAGGCAGGAGGAGTATAAAAAATGGCTCCCCCGTGTGTTATCTGTCCTGTGGCACCTCAAAGCAGGGGCTGATCAGAATTTACCTGCAGAGTATTGAGTCTTGAGAAGAAGCCATCCCCACTGGTAGGCACTTGGCAATCTTTACCTTTGGGTTCTTGAGGCTTTGCTCAGATCCATGGGGTTTTGCATTTACTGTCACATTGTGGTTTTCTCATCAGGAATGCTCCTCAACAAACTCCCCAAAATTGCCTCCTTTACAAAGAACATTCACTTCCAAATAGCTTTATCAATTGTTAACTGACTAAAGGGGTGTGATCTTTAACTTGGACAGCATAATATTCAGTAAGACTTTCATAAAAGGATTCCTCATAAGGAGAAAGGCACTGAATTTAAGAATTCTAGGCTTGGAACTGGTAGACCTGAGTTCGTGTGCTGGTTTTGCCCTTTACTAGCTGTGTGACCTTGGGCAAATCCCTTAACCTCTCTGAATTTCAGTTTCTTCATCTGCAAAATGGGGAAAAGGTACTTGTGATACTTGCCTCCCAGGCTGGTTTATAGCAAAATTGGACCATAATCTAATAGTTTTTCCTTTTAATCTTCAAGTTATCTATAACAGTAGATATTCAAGAAAAGTATTCATGATGAGTTTTTGAAGCATTGTTTGCCAAATAGCTATGTCAGTATTACATTATATTATCTGCAGACTTCTTGGACTACTCATATTCTGGAACACTCAGCTGAAGAGAAAATAGACTATGATACATGCTGATTCAAATCCTTTTAGGAGTCATCCAGTCAACTAGCATTTGTTAAGCACCTACTGTGTGCAGACAGCATGCTGGAGGCAACATAACTTAGTAAATTGAGTGCTAAGCCAGAAATCAAGCAAACTTGGGCTTGAGTCCATCTCTGACACTTATTACCTTTGGCCCAGGCAAACACAACCTTTAAGAGGCTCTTTTTCTTTAGCCACAAAATGAGGATAAGGATGAGGATGATATGTAACACAATGCAAAATGCTTTACAAATATTATCTCATTTATTTTCATGACAACTTTGGGAGGTGTTGCAATTATTGTCCCCATTTTAAAGATGAATTAAATAATTAATCAACTAGTATTTATTAAGCACCTATGTGACCATCTTCTTACTCCACACATTGTTTTACACCACAACCCAATCAAGGAAAAGAAAATAATCTGTTTAATCTCTCTCAGGGCAGCTAAGTGGCTCAATGGATAGAGCACCAGCCCTGGAGTTAGAATGACCTAAATTCAAAGCCAGTCTCAGACACTTATTAGCTATGTGACTCTGAGCAAGTCACTTATCCCTGTTTGCCTCAGTTTCCTTATCCATAAAATGAGCTGGGGAAGAAAATGGTAAACCACTCCAGTATCTTTGCCAAGAAAACCATGAGTGGGACCATGAAAAGTCAGACACAACGGAAAGGCCTCAACAACAACATCTTTCTCAGCTTAGCTGGCAGTTTTCGGTCCAGAGCAGATAGTCACGTCAGAAGGGGAAGCCTAAACTTAGAATCTTAGAAAGACTCCAAGATGGGACACTTTAGTAGGGTTCTGTCAAAGGAAGGGTCAACTTTATGTGGCTCTGACCCCACAAGAAACATTTAGGAAGAGTACTGATGTCCTCTCATCTACGAGGATGACTATCGTACTGTGCAGAGGTTTTCCATTTCATCAGAAGGAATGGAGCTGTTGACTTCCATTTCACTCAAACCCTGTGAGTGATCAAGCAGCCCAGGCATGTAGGAAGACCCCAGATCTTGCTCCCTGGGCACCCTGGATGAGTTCGAAGAGAGTTCAAATGGGTCAAGGACAAGGACGAGTAAGGATATAGGGCACTGCCCCCAACCATCCACCGTCTCCTGGCCATTTGCATCATCCCAGGATGACCTAGGCCCAAGGGGAGAAGAAAAAAAGAGGACACAATTAACATTGCAAATAATAAAAAGCTGTATAATAGTAAGCGGTTGCTAGTAATTAATAATTACTTTAAATAGAGTATTCCAGATTATTATTTTATCAGTGTAAGGAATTTTTCCACGTGGAAACTCCATTTACCAATGAAAATCAGCAACTTGTCTATACCGGAGACTACAGTCGTAGATTACTTGGGGAAGTGAGGGGTTAAAGGGCTTGTCCACAGTCACATGTCACGGTGATGAAATTTGAACTCAAGCCTTCCTGCTACCAAGATCAGTTCACTAAAAATTATACCACACTGCATCTTTCCTTTTATTAGTGATAATGACATCATTATTTGTCCTCAGCATCTTATGTAAGAAATTATTGGATCGCTTCCAGACTAATTAAGGAGCAAAAGACCTCTTAAAAGCTTCCATAACTACCTCTAACCATGAACAATCTGTGTACTGGCTTTCAGGGAACAGCAAAAATGAAGACAGCATCATCACTGATTGTGCTCATTGTGATCGTTGTGGCTTGCTTCTCAGTAAGTACGATCCAGCCTATCCATTGTTTTCTTATTGTTCTCACTGATGATGATTTTAGAGAATTTTGATATGTGTGATGTGATCCTTTATATAAAAACAGTTAATAAGTCACTATATAGATTTAGTCTCATTTAGCTTCTAATTATTTACATTGAAATTCAATTTGTTTAGGCATTAAATTAATTAATCTATAGTATTTAAGTCTCATTTTAAAAAATTCCACACCCTTCCTCATTTAACTCAAGTAATCTAGCCAACACAGTTTATGTCTGAAACATCATTTTCTAATAATAATAACAATCATTAGCATTTATGCAGCACCTTAAGGTTTGCAAATTGCTTTCCAAGCATTACTTCATTTTATCCTTACAATAACCCTGAAAGATAGGTGCTATTATTATCTCCATTTTACAGATGAGGAAACTGAGGCAGACAGAGGTTGAAGTGACTTGCCCAGATTCATACAACTAGGAAGTGTTGGGAGGCCAGATTTGAACTTAGGTCTTCCTGACTCTTCACTACATAAATCAGAGGTAGCAAGGTTCCTCAATCAATTAATTAATACACATTTAATCAGCACTTACTTCATGCCAGGTACTGTGACATGTACTGGTTCTCAGAGCAAAGCAGACAACCCTTCCACAGGGCAGACAGATGGGTAGAGTAGATTAGAGCTGCGCTTTACTCAGACCCATCTTGTCCTCTCTTGCAAAAGTTACAAATATCAAATATTCAGAAGGCGGGGCAGTGTGTTAACAGAAAAGTGAGTTCTTAAGATTTTCTTCATTTCTTGACTCTAATCTTTAATTTTTAAGTCAACAAAACATTTAAGTTGAAAAAGTGTTCTTTTTGAGAAAGACAATTGAGTCACCTGAATATATTAATTCATGTTCCTTAAAGAATAAGAGAGATGTGATTCTGAAAAATTTCTTGTAAAAGGAATTTTTTGTAAAACATCATATTTTTTCATTGATTTATACTATAGTTCTGCAGAATCGAGATGGCGCAGTAGATAGAGCTCTGGGCCTGGAGTCAGGAAGACTCATCTCTCTGAGTCCAAATCTGGCTTCAGATACTTACTAGCTGTGTGACCCTGGGCAAATCACTTCACTCTGCCTCAGTTTACTCATTTGTAAAATGAGCTGGAAAAAGAAATGCAAACCACCCCCAGTATCTTTGCCAAGAAAATTCCAAATGCGGTGTTGAAGAACTGGCCGTGACTGAAATGACTGAACTTAACTATAATTTCTGAAAAATTTGGGCCAGGAGAAAAAATCTAAAATGCATTGCTTGCTAATAAAAGAAGTTACTATAGGGAAAAATTCCACTAGCCTTTAGAGATCAGGAAAACATCTTGCCTGCAATGGTATGGATTGGGGATCATAACTGCGTACAGGGGTTATCCTGAAAGGCTTTGCCTGGGGCATTGACATGGCCTTTCCAACCTCCATTTCCTTGTGCGTTATCATACGTCCTACACTGTTCTTCAGATGATCGACATGTCAGGGGGTGTACCCACTACAGTAATACATCAGTAGATAGGAGGGGCAGCCTAGTTATAAAGCTCTCCTGTGTTTGAGAGATTCTCCCTAAGTTGGTGCCCAAGGCATAGATGATAAGTTAGGGCATGCCCCACAACGGCCTATGGAACTGAATGTATCAGTTCTGCCCATTCCTGAATGAGCCCAGAGTTTTCTCCCAACATGTACTCCCAGACTGAGATGACTTGCTCATACCATCATCATCCTCAACCTCATCCTCATGATAATGATAACAAATATTTATATACTGTGTACCAGGTACTTTGTAAAGCACTTTATAAATATTTCATTTTATCTTCTCAACAACTCTGTAAGATAGATACTATTATTTTCCCTATTTTACAGTTGAGAAAAGTAAGGGAGACAGAGGTTAAGTAATGTGTCCATGGTCACATAACCAGTAAGTGTCTGAGACTTGATTTGAACTCAGCCCCTCCTGACTCCAGACCCAGCTCTCTAACATCAATCTTCTCTTAGTACTCCAGGGCTTTGTGAATCAGAAAACTGAGAAAAATACGTGAGAGAATGTTTTGCTTGATAACTTTTTCTGCCACTAGTAAAAAACAAAAACAAAAAAAAAACTTGCAAGGCCAGTGTAGTAGTCCGCATTAAAAGCTGCGAAATGTGTGGATGGGGTTAATTTATTTTAAAAAATAATCCCTAGATTTGGATCTCCATATTTCACGTGCATCTTCCTGTTTCAGGATTAACTTCAAGGTTAAAAAAAAAAAGGAAATCTAAATTATCAAAAAGTCTCTTCTCAAAGATATCACAGCAAGTGACATTTCTTCAGCGTTTTCAAAATGATTTACCTGCATCATCTCCACTGATCCTGACAATAATCTTGTGAGAATGGATTCTATGGTCAATTCTATTTTATAGATGAAGAAACTGAGGGTCAGAGAGGCCCACTGACTGGCCATAAACCATACAATCAACAAAATATCCGAGAAAAGATTTGAACCCAGGTCTTCTTGACTGCTTAATTCTCTGTCTCCAAGTCAAGCTTGACAGTAACACAAGTAGGCAAGGAAGTTATTAATGAAGTAGGAGAATTAATGCCAATTGCTTGAGTAACTTTGGACAAGTCCCCTAACTTCTCTGTTGGTTCTATCTTACTCATCTCTCTGATTACGGACTAGAGTCTTGAGTCAGAGAACGTCAAAAGTAATGGGACCTTAGACACCATTTATTCTGACCTACTCAGAATGAGATAGTGACGTAGTGCAATTGGATAGAGCACTAGACCTGGAGCCAGGAAGAACTGAATTTGAATTTGGCCTAGAACAGTTACTAGCTGTGTGATCTTTGGCAAGTCACTTAACCTCTGCCTGCCTCACTTTCCCCATCTGAAAAACTGAGACAATAATAGCGCCCACCTCCTAGGGTTGTTGTGAGGATAAAATGGGATATTTCCGAGAATAATTACCTTAATTATTAATCAACCTTGGATGATTACCATTGTTATTCCCCCCAAAATCAAACTAGTAATCCCTTCAAGCTTCTCTTAAATCTCTCAGCTTAAAATGGGATTCAACTAAATTCAACAAATTTTCATTAAGCACCTCACAATTTTTAGCACACTCTAATTCTGACTACAGGATTTCATGTGCATTGAACTTTCTTCAATTCCATCAAATCTAAATGTTAATTCAAACTTGTTTTCATGAAATTTAAATCCCAGAATTGGGAGACACCTGAAAAGTCATCTTGTCTAATCAACAGCTGCCCTGAAATCCCCTCTATCTATGACATTCCTGGCAAATAGCCATTTGACTGTGCTCGGAGACCTCCAGAGACAGAAAACTCATTATTTACCAAGGCAGCTCATTATGTTTGGGATAGATCTAATGAGGAAAGCTTGGTTTTCTTTTTCCTCACACAGAGTCAAAACTCTTCTTCTGCAAATATGACTCCCTTGCTCCTATTCTTCTCCTCTGGGACCAAACAAAATAAAGTACAATACTCTGCCACCATTCTGCTGTTGTTCAATCGTTTCAGTCATGACCAACTCTTTGTGACCCCTTTTGGGGTTTTATTGGCAGAGATACTGGAGTAGTTTCCCATTTCTCTTTCCTGCTCGTTTTATAGATGAGGAAACTGAGGCAAACAGAATTAAATGACTTTTCCAGGGTCACACAGCTGGTCAGCGTCTGAGGCCAGATTTGAACTCAGAGGGATGAGTCTTCCTGACTCCAGGTCCCGTGCTCTATCCACTGCACCCCTTTGCTACCTTACAGTCTTTCAAATACTTAGGGTCAGAGGCTATTCAAAAAAAAAAAGCATTGTGGAAGGAAACTTTGTCTCTCCTCTCTCCATCTCATCTCACAAGCTGGTAGAACCCTCAAAAGTCATGAATGTTTTGAATATATTTGGAATACACTCACTGGAAAAACAACACGGCACTCTATTTTTATTAGTTTGGAAAACAGCGACCTCATTGCCTCTGAAATGGGAATTCTACATCACCACTGCTATTCATTCCTAGTCCTAGCTAAAATCCCATCTTCTGTAAGCTTTCCCCAATCCCCCTTAATGCTCCCACTTCCCTCTGCTGGTTCTTTCCTATTTATCTTGCATGTGGCTTGTTTGCATGTTGTTGTCCCCATTAGATTGTGAGCTCCTGGAGGACCAGAACTGTGTAATCCCTTATATTTGGAATGGGTGCCTGGCCCATAGCAGGTGCTGGATAAATGTTGATTGACTGGCCTCCCTTCTAGTCTTGCTAGAATTCTCTCCTCCGAGCTGTCTATATCATTATTGGGAGAACAACAGCACTTCCTCCTCCTAGGAGCTTCGGGACAGGTCTTGGGTCTGCAACTCTTAAGAGCACAGACGTCCCCATCCTTCCCTTTCTCCTCCATGTAATGCGCTTGCTCCAACCTCCTCATAAGCTTCATTTCACCTACTCTGCCTCAGATTCTTTCTTCTCTTTTGAAACTTCTAGTCGGTTTCCTTCACTGTTTCCAGTACAATCTTCTCTACTCTTCATACTGGTTAAGAATTTCAGCCTTTACACAAATTTGCTAACATTGACCCCTTTACCCTAAGTAGCTTTCATCAATCTTTTGCTTGTTTTGCCAGTACCTGAAAGTAGAATCTGGATCAGCATCCAGACTAGACGCTGTTCTCTTTCGAATTTTCTTCAGTTTCCCTCCAAATTAGCTTGAACGTGGTGGTACATACCTGTAACATCTCTTACTGGGGAGGCCCAAGCTGGAGGATCACTTGAGTCTGAGCTATAGTGGACTAAGCCAACAGATGGTCTGCACTAACTCCAGGGCCACCATGAGTTGAGGGTGGGGCACAGAGAGGGTCGTCTAAAGAGGAGTGAAACAGGCGCATGTCGCAAGTCAAAGCTCCCATGCCAATCAGCAGCAGCATCACATCCTATGAGCGTCCCCTGCGTTTTCAGCCGGAACAACATAGGGAGACCCCAATCTAAAATTCTCCTTGAATCGTCCTTCTGATTTGAAAGTCTGGTCTCAGTCACTAGACCAAAGCCCTCCAAGTCATGTACAAAGCTTCTTTCTCTTTCTGACTGGGCTCAGCTCCTGTCTTCATCTGCTCCTTCCTACCCAACCCTCTCCCATGGAAACTAGTAGCAGAATAAACTCCTTGTAGCTATTTTGTATAGCCCTACTATGGCATCTATCTGATGCGGCCTTGTATTGAAATAATTTTTAAACATGTCTATCTTCTCTGCAGTCCAGAGACTTCATTTTTTTGTGCCTTTGTATAACCCATGGTATATAGCAAAGTGATTTATATGTAGTGAGCGTTTCATAAATATTTATTTAGTGAATGAGTAAATGAATGAACAAATGCATTTAAGGCCCCAAACGAGATCAAATTCTTTTTATGAGGGAATGATAAAGCAGATAGAGGAATTGGGCAAATACCTGAGAAGCCGACAGTTGACATGAGACACGTCTTTCTAATCCTGCTCTCATTCTTAACAAACAAACAATAAAACCAGGTCAATAGGTATTATAGTGGCATTTCAGTCTAGGATCAGGAGATCAGATGCTTCTCTCATGAACAGCATGAAACTGGCTTTAGGCTTCCAGCTGATGTCCATGGGCAAGGTAAGAAAGAAACAGGCAAGAATCCGGGCTTCCAAATAAACAAAGATGCTCCAATTCATTTTTCTCTGATCTATTCTTCAACGACATACAAGACTATGACTATGGAAAGGGTCACTGAAATGTAAGAACTTTTGACCATATAACTTAAAATAATGTTACGCTAAATGGATGATTTTTTTCTTTCTTTCAACAGTTCAGTGAATGTCAGGAGAGGACAGGATGGTCAACTCCATTACTACCACTACCCCCAACGGCATCGGCCATATCCACCACTACCACCAGGAGCAGTGTGGCAGCTACTACCAGGCCCAAACAGATTTCCTCCCTTTTGTGGGCCTCGCTTTCCTCCTTACCCCCACCTTAATCCCAATACGCCTTACCCTCGAAGACCAAGGCCCACTTCCCCTCCTCCTAATCCTGTTGTTAATGGTACCACTCCTCAATAGCCCATCACTACCAACACCACTGCTCCCAACCGCCCCCCAACCACTCCCTCTATTACCAATCAAACGGTAAGCCAAAATCAAACCACTACTCCCAGCCAAACTTCCCCAAACGCCACTACTGTTTATATTTTTGCTGATTTCAGGAACAGGCTAAATTCCTTTTTTGGCCAAAGATAAGGCAATAAAATGCACAAGGATCTTATCTCTTAAGAGAAATTATCTGCAAAACACAAAATAATCATCCTTTCTCCAAACATCATTCCTAGTAATTACAAAAATAGAACTACTTTGTAACCTAAAAGGATATTTGTCAGCATTGCTATTGACAACACTATCGTGGAATGCTAAATAATACAAACTACAGACAAGGTTTCACTGCCCCAGGAACAGGGACCCATGAAGCTAGATCCCTTGGGAAGGCAGGATGCTGAGAAATGACCACTGACATGCAAGATGTCACCAAGGCACAGATGGGGGGAATGCATCATGACTCAGTCGATCTAGTTTCTCCCTAGTTCTTGAAAAAATGACCCATATTGTGACAGAGACTACACAACAAATACAAAATGTATTTGTGGGTACTATAACACTACCTGTGATTTTTTTAATGTTTAAATTTTTTTTAAATACAGGAAAGGCAATTCTAATAGGAAGAAAGCTTTAAAAAGAAAATTCATGGGATCTTGTGCCATGTCAAAAAAAATCAGCATTTTGTTAATAAGTGATGGAGAGCAGTAGTGGATACAGATCTGGCATCAAAACCCGGAAAACCCATGACAAATAATGACAAGGCATTCATCCCTCAAGCTCTGGGGACCTCTCAAAGATTGAATACTGGAGAAAGTGCTGACCAGCATGGGTAGAAGGATAGGAGGACCCCTAAATCAATGAAATCACAGATCGCCTTCCTAACCCTATCCCTAATGAACCCCGGATGGGATCTCATTTTTTAGAACTGAGAGTTATTCTAGATAATCTAAATGAGGGATGAGAAATGATAGCTTTTGGGTCATTGAAGTGAAATATGATCAAAAGAATGACCAGCTCTACAAATCTCCACTTACCAGAAAGAGAGATATGTGACCATGTTAGACATCAATAAAAGCAGCCACGTTGATGCTTCTTCAAAGTAGCACTTGTTCCAACAATTTCCGAGGAGTGTTGCAAGTGCTCAGGTAGGACTGAGAAATTAGATCCTTGAAGGAGCAGATACATCACTGCATTCTGTGTCCCAGAGCATATGACATCACAGTATACCACCAGGCAATGAAGAGTGACCTATTGAAGTCAATATTTATCATGATAAATCATAAAGTGAACCTTGATTTTGCATTGCATGATAAACTCAATCTACTTTTGATGTAAGGATAGTACTGAATTGAGGAGCTTGGAATCATTTGCCCTTTCTGTCAATACATCTAATCATTGTGGCCAATGTTGTTTTGATTTTTCCTATCTAATAAACGTTTAAAGCATCTGCTTATTTTCACTTGGCATATTAGTGGTGATGGGCTTTAGGAAGGAGATATTTGCATATTTCTCAAACTGGATATTTGGGTGGGTTGGCATGAATTGCCCTATAGGGGGGAAAAGTAATTTAAAAGTCCTCATGAAGGACCCTAGAACTTGGAATCTTTTCACAATTGGGGAAAAAAGACTGCCCCTGACCCAGAAAAGCTGCGACTGGTCTGAACTCATACCAAAACTCAGCCATCAGCTATGGTGGCAGCAGCAACAGCAGCTATGGAAGACGTTTTGCCTGTGAAGGACTGACCATGAGCCTTGAGCAAGTGCTGGCTACATTTCTTTGCGGTATATCTCTTGAAAATCAAACTAATAACTAAAATATCTCAAGGCTTATACAAATATGAATATTCTGGGCAGACAGTTCCTTCTTATAGGGAGATTTAGTAAGTGCATTGAGTAGGGGGATCGGGGAGTAGAACACAGAAGAAGTCACCTCACATTAAAACCACACCTACAAAAGGAAACACCAAGATTAATGAGACATCTGAATAACAAATACCCAAAATCATTCTACTGAATTGATCTGATCCAGAGCCTCACTAAGTGTAATTGTGGATTTTTTAGACCTAAAAGAATCATAACTCTAGCAGAGCAGCCTACAACTGAATACTGAAAAGGATAACATTAATAATATTAACAATAGTAATAATAATCACAATAATAAGAAACTTATACAACACTTTAAGGTTTGCTTGCAAAACGCTATGTATGTGTGTGTATATATGTATGTATGTATGTATGTATGTGTGTGTGTGTGTATATTTATACAGAACGTAGATATACACACATATATAATCTCATTTGATCCTCACAATAATGTGTTACGGGTATAATTATCACCTCCATTTTAGAGATGAAATAACTGAAGCTCAATGAAGCAGGTCACACAAATTCTAAGTGCTTAAGGCTAATCAAACATAGAAGTCTAGCAGTTAAGCTCACCATCAGACAGCCAACCAGAGGAAGTCCCTCAACACCTTCCCTTTCTTAAAATCAATCAACAGTTATTTATTGAATGCCCACTATGGGACATGGCACTGCTCTTGGTACTGGGATGCACATACAAACCAGAACCCGTCTCGAGTCTTGGATTCGTGGTCGTACTTGCCATGATATTTCAAGCATCATCAATAGTGGCTCAGTAAGCGACCTTGGGGGTTTTTTCATTGGGCTGTCTGGTGTTCTGCTCATATGTCTTTAGCTTCTACTCCTCATTAGACAATTTTTCTTTACCTTTCTTAGTCCAAAAATCATTCCCCTTAGAAAACGGAAATAAAATGAGGGTTGATTCATTCTGGCTGCTTTTCATTCATCCTCAATTTCCTGCTCCTGCAACAGAAGTAAAACAAGGGTTGATTCATTCTGTCTGGTTTTCAGTCATCTTTAATTGTCTGCTCTTCTTTCCATATTCCATCCTTTCAAACTCTGAGTCGGTTTGTTAGTTCCCCATGTAGCTACCTAAGCATCTTTAGATGGCTCCCTCTCTCTTTCCCTCTACATTGGAACACGTTGGTGACTTCTGAATTTCTTCTTGAGAGATGCCCTTTGTCTCTGAGCCAACTTCTCCTGGAGACATCCAGGATATTAAAAATTGGGATATTTTCCCTTTTCTTGTCCTAATGTACCTATTTCACCGTGATCTTTTTTTCTTTTTAAAGTTATTTTTCATGCCACAATCACTTTCTGATATACATCTCTCCCAACCCCCCCCCACACACACCCATTCACACCTATAGAACCCTTGGAACAAAGACAGTTAAGCAAATTGACAATGCCAGCTTCTGTCAGGATATTCAACTTCAGACATCCATAGAACCCTCTTGTCCAACAAGAGGAGAGAAGTGAGGTTCATCAGCCATCTTTCAGAACAAATAATGACGCTTGTGTTTCACCTCAAGTTCAGTGTTGTTTCCCCTTATGTTATTGTAGTCACTGTGTATATTGTTCTCCTGGTTCTGGTTTCTTCATTTTGTATCAATGCAGATGAGTATTCCCATGTCACTCTGAATTCTTCATGTACTTTGAATCTTACTGTGCAATAATCCCATCATATTCACTTTCACCATTTGACCAGGTCTGAGGAGACTGAGGCTCAGGAATGGAAGTGACTTCACCAAGGTCACTCAGGTAGTAAGTGCCAAAAATGCAAATATAGAACACCCGCTGCAGCAGACAGCACAATACACATAATTAATCACACTTGTATAACCAGAACAATGTGTGTATGTGTGTGTGTGTGTGTATAGTCAATGTAAGCTGGTGAAAGCTGTAATATATATTTTATATATTTATAATCTATTATTATGTTACCTATTACATTATATATAGCATATAATAGATATAATATTTTCTATATTATAATAATATAAGTATAAATATGGAGAATAGTTAACATTTTTCCTGCATGTTTTCAGTTGACCATATGCTCTTAGCTCGAAGCTGGTACATTTTAGAGATGCCATAGCCTCCTGGCTGGTTCCAGTCAGCCATAGATGACTCAGTACTTGAATACTTAGGGCAGCTAGGTGGCACAGTAGATAGAGTGCCAGCCTTGGAGTCAGAAGGACCTAAGATCAAATCTGGTCTCAGACACTTACTAGCTGTATGCCCCTGGGCAAGTCACTTAACCTTGTTTGCCTCAGTTTCTCACCTGTAAAATGAGCTAAAGAAGGAAATGGCAAACCATTCCACTTTTCTTTGCCAAGAAAAACTCAGATGGGGTCATAGAGAGTCAAACACAACCAAAACAACTCAACAACAATAACCTGAATACTTTGGAGGGGATAAAGTGATCTCCTTGTTGACTACTGAGCAGGAAGAGCCACTTAACAGACGTATAAAAAGGGAGTGACTCTATCCCTGACTTTCTTTCTTCAACCTTCCAGGTGACATCCTGTAATTCTGGAAATTTCCATGAGGGGTAAGAGTGGCTCTTCTCCACCAAAGTATGGCGGAGAAGTATGGCAGCATGTCTCCTCCTCTCACATGGAAGCTCAAGCAGGGTGCTGAGCCAAGACCTTTGGCTTTATCTTGTGGTCTATTTCTTCACATCATCATGAGTGACTGAGCATCAGTCTCAAGATAGACATGTCCAGTCTTGGTGACAACCTCATGAATTCTAGAGTTTATAAATTATATATATATATACATATGTCTATATAATTGTAATTATGAGTTTCTGAATCCTATTTTGGAATTTTTTTGTCAATGCGAGCTGGTGAAAACCTTTTATATATAGTGTGATGTATATTGTACTTTTAGGACTTTTGTGCACCTCACTTTTGGGGAGACACGAGTCAAACTTTGGCTAGAAGTGATGTCCCCCTGAGGTACCAGAGTGGACGTATGATGAGCTGAAGTATGAGAAGAGGAATCCAAACTTTCAGTAGAGGTCAAACTCGCCAAAGACTGGACCCGGTCTGGATCATGTGTGTGAGTACAGAGCAGATAAGCCCCCCTTGTAATGAGGGAAAGCACACAGCGTACCAGCTTCTGGGTCCTGGCATTGTTTGTTTGTTTGAAGTAAGGTCCATGACTTTTAAATAACTTTTATAAGTTATTTATTTGATATTTTATTTTTTCCCCAATTACTTGTAAAAACAATTT